ATTCTCTGAGTCGAGGTTTCATTTTACAAAATAACAAATAAAAATTACTTCAGAATTAATACAATAAGTCAAATGATGTGCTGACTGAAAACCGCTGAGGGAAATTCACCAAGACTGGGGCAGACAGAATATGGAGCAGTTGCCAATGGCAATCAATCAGCGTCTACCTTTCACTTTCAAAGCTTAACTGAACTGAGAAGAGATGTTAATAATTGACATAGGCAACAGAACCAGATTCTGTCTGCACTAGTTTTGATAAATTCCACTCACTGCATTTCCCCTTACAGTTTTGTTTTAAATGTAATTTAAGGATTATGTATAATGAAAAGTACTGGATACTGCCAGGGTTCTAAGTTAGAACTATGATTAAAGGACAGTAATATTTTGTGACTGTGCATTCAATGCACTTCTTGATCTATGCACTTTGTTGTTTATGATATATGCATGTGATATCTAGGAGATATGTATATGCACTTTGAGAGCACATTAATTGATAAAATTGGTTCTATATCCTATTTAACCTCCCTGGCGGTATTCCCGAGTCTGGCTTGGGGTTTAATTTTCAATACCATCACTGAACTCGGTCGCAGAATCGTCGCTGTCCTCACTTTCAGTGTCTGTTGAGGAATTTCCCAACGAATCGCTATCGCTCAATTCTGCAAGTAGTTCTAATTTAGTATCGCTGTTTTCTACCCGGTCTAAAACCGCTTTTGACCTAAAAAAGCGACGATTCTGCGACCGAGCTCAGTGATGTGCGAACTTGGTACTCTATTGACTGTGGTACGGATCAGGCCGCGCCCCCAGAATTCCTATTTACTGGACCATTTTTTTTATTATTATATTATATATTTTTATAATTATTTATTATATTATAATTTCTTATAATTTATTATATAAAAATTTTTTAATTTCGTGTTTTAAACTTTATCATACCTGGGATGTCTACTGGACTCTTGTTTGGACAGATTTAGGTGAGTTATTCCTAAGATTTACTAAGAATTACAGGCCTACAATATAAAACAACACATTTCCATGAAAAACAATGTACCGCTTTGGGATGCTAAAATCCTGAATAATCATACCGCCAGGGAGGTTAATTAATTCACCCATTACTTTAACTCAGTGCAAAGAATTGGGTTTATGTATGCAAGTAGCAATGACTACTTCAGCACACCAGCTGGGTGTTCCTAAAATTATATATAGATAGGGGTTGCAGACCGGGTTGATTAAAAATTTAGGTCAAGCAAGCAATCATTTTAGGATCATGGAGACCTAAAGTAACGGATTTCTTTCTGAAATTGCACTGATGTTGTTATGTGGTTAGTTTAGATGTAAATGGTGCTCAGTAGATTTGTTTGCTATATAATTACGCTGTTAAAACTAAAACCTGTTTTGCTCATGGCCATAAAAGAGACACCAGTTTACTATATCTAAAGAAAAGAACACACAAATACGCATATTTAAAAATTACTAATTTATAGTTATGTCCTATCTTACCTCTTTACCCGAAAACCTCCTCATACCACCGTTGTGCACAGTGATGCTTTAGAAGCGCTCATTAGTCCAGCAGGTTAACTGAGATGTGCAGGTATCACAAAGTTCGCTTAGGCCCTGTTCACACCTAGGCGTATCGAATATGCCCGTTCGTCGCGCGTTTTTACCGCGATTCGCGGTAAAAAACGCGCGACAAACGCGCGTTTCCGAGGGCTACTTGGCTGTATCCCAATGGAAACTTGAGACAAAAACGCAGCAAAGAAGCTGATTTTCAGGCGTAGGCCATTTTGTATCGCGTTCGGACGGGTTGAAATACGCCAAGGTGTGAACCAGACCCATTGAATACAATGGGATTTAGATGTTTGAGCGTTTTGTAAAGCGTTCGTCGAGCGTTGAAAGCGCTACAAAACGTTCAGGTGTGAACCAGGCCTTAATGTATAGGAACATCCTATATAGGATACTGGTGTAGAGATGTAATTATATTGTCACACGATTAATGAAACTGCATGAAGCTATCATTACAGCTCTGAAGACTGCATTAAAAACTATTTTGTTTGTGTATATACTAATTTATTATTTATAGCCTACATATGTACCTGTATAATAAAGACTATAGTGTGTGTGTGTAAATATCTATAGATCTATATGTATAGATATGCACACGGATACATACAGTATCTCACAGAAGTGAGTACACCCCTCACATGTTTGTAAATATTTTATCATTTCATGTGACGACACCGAAGAAATTACAATTTGCTACAATGTAAAGTAGTGAGTATACAGCTTGTATATCTGTGTACATTTGCTGTCCCCTCAAAATAACAACACACAGTCATTAATGTCTAAACCGCTGGCAGCAAAAGTGAGTACACCCCTAAGTGAAAATGTCCAAATTGGGCCCAAAGTGTCAATATTTTGTGTGGCCACCATTATTTTCCAGCACTGCCTTAACCCTCTTGGGCATGGAGTTCACCAGAGCTTCACAGGCAGAGCAGCCCAGCGGGGAGGAGAGAGCAGCCGCTGTCATCCTGTCAGTTTCAGGATGACATCGGCTGGGTGCGTGGCCAAGCGGAGGACCGGTAGATATCCTTGATATTTACCAGTCCTCCGTGTGAAAAACAAACACCGGAGTGATCGTCTGATCACTCCAGTGTTTGTAACTAACTGGGGACACATAGTACTATGTGTCCCCGGTATGAATGAACAGGATGTGATTTAAATCACATCCTGTTCATTCATGAATTTCTGAATGGGGAGTAGCACTCACTACAGAGGCTCCTCCACATTCATAAACTGCTGATAGTAAAATATTTACTATCAGCAGTTTCTGAATGAATGGGAAGCATCAGTACTGAGAGCTTCCCATTCATTTAGTGCTGGGGCTGCAGAAAAAGAAATTGAGGACTCTGTGTCCTCAATTTCTTTTTCTACTTCAAAAGAGAAATATCAGGGGTCTGTTTAGACCCCTGATATTTCCCCGAAGCTCCCCCAACAGTAAAATAAATAAACAAAACCTGTAAAAATTAAAATTAATAATAAACACCCAATGTACATATATGTGTGTGAATAAAATATATATATATATATAAAAAATTGTGGAATTAAAAAACTAAATAGAACAAAAAACCACAAACCCCCCTCCACCCACACACATAAAATACACGTGCACCATATTGTTGTGTACGCCATGCACATGCGCTGCAGTGCGTTGTTAGAGCGCATCGCAGTGCATGAGTTTTGTCTTTCTTTAAAAAACATTTTAACTGCGGCAGCGCATGGCAAAGCTTTGTGACGCATTGCCATGCGTTGTAATACCTTGTGTTGCAATTAAATATACGCCTGTATCATTTTATCACAACACAAACGCCAACACAGTGCAAAAACAATTTTTTACATAAATCGCTTATTTACAGTTTTGCGTTCCACTTTATCTTTTCCCAAAAAGGCGCAATTTAAAATGTCTAAATATTTGTTATTTATTTACTCAATATCTTTTAGATTTAGTCAGCAAATATTTTTGTGCCGATACAGATTTTAGGGCTCTATCAATTGAATTGTGTATTTTTATCAGTTTATTATTAATTTGAGAAACATTTGCACAATTATCGCAGGGCCTACAAATTTAGTAGCACCATCTTTTTATTCTGCTGGGCCTGCGCTTTCAGATAATATATGGTTTTTTGGGGGGTATTTTACAAACGCTAGCAACGCAGCAATTGAAAATCAAATCAATGGGAAAAATTGCAAAAATGGTGTGGCCAGCTGAGTTGCAAAATGTTCCGGAGGGCTTGGCAGCAAAAGGTTTAACAGGACAGGTTCCACTCAGACCAAACCTCACCATGGTCAACTAAAGAAGTTGAGTGCACGTGCTCAGCGTCATATACAGATGTTGTCTTTGGGAAATAGACGTATGAGTGCTGCAGAGGTTGAAGGGGTCAGCCTGTCAGTGCTCAGACCATCCGCCGCACACTGCATCAATTTGATCTGCATGGCTGCCGTCCCGGAAGGAAGCCTCTTCTAAAGATGATGCACAAGAAAGCCCGCAAACAGTTTGCTGAAGACAAGCAGACTAAGGACATGGATTACTGGAACCATGTCCTGTGGTCTGATGAGACCAAGAAAAACGTATTTGGTTCAGATGGTGTCAAGCGTGTATGGCGGCAACCAGGTGAGGAGTACAAAGACAAGTGTGTCTTGCCTACAGTCAAGCATGGTGGTGGGAGTGTCATAGTCTGGGGCTGCATGAGTGCTGCCGGCACCGGGGAGCTACAGTTCATTGGTGAAACCATGAATGCCAACATGAACTGTGACAAACTGAAGCAGAGCATGATCCCCTCCCTGCGGGGACTGGGCCAACATGATAACGACCCCAAACACACCTCCAAGATGACCACTGCCTTGCTAAAGAAGCTGAGGGTAAAGGTGATGGACTGGTCTTCAGACCTAAACCTTATTGAGCATCTGTGGGGCATCCTCAAACGGAAGGTGGAGGAGCGTAAGGTCTCTAACATGGAGATGTTGTCATGGAGGAGTGGAAGAGGACTCCAGTGGCAACCTGTGAAGCTCTGGTGAACTCCATGCCCAAGAGGGTTAAGGCAGTGCTGGAAAATAATGGTGGCCACACAAAATATTAACACTTTGGGCCCAATTTGGACATTTTCACTTAGGGGTGTACTCACTTTTGCTGCCAGCGGTTTAGACATTAATGGCTGTGTGTTGAATTATTTTGAGGGGACAGCAAATGTACACTGATATACAAGCTGTACCCTCACTACTTTACATTGTAGCAAAGTGTCATTTCTTCTGTGTCTTCACATGAAATGATATAATAAAATATTTACAAACCTGTGAGGGGTGTACTCACTTCTGTGAGATACTGTATATATACACATATACACACAGATTATTCAAAAACAATTTACTACTCCAAGGACAACCCCTAGCACTGAAAGTTTGCACATATGTTTAAACGTAATGATTGTTAAAACTTATAACTGTATTACCCTTGCTTTTCTTTCTGCTTCCAGACGCTGCATAATAAGCATGTCTACGTCATCATCTTCATCATCATCATCATCGTCATCTTCATCTTTTTGCTTAGACTCTTGAAGTCGCTTCTGAAACTGCCACTCAAGCATTAGTTTGCGCAGTCGGTCATTTTCTTCTGCAGTTCGTTCAGTCTTGTTTTGTAGTTCATTGATCTCCTTGCTTAGCATATTTACTATGTGCATTTGTTGCTGTTTTTCCAATTTCTCCTTGGCATCCCTCTTCCATGGGTCTGGTGAAAGGCTGTCGCTGGAAGAAAGCTCTTCTTTGCTGATCGTAATGTATTGAAGATCCCTTCTCTCTATTGTGCGTGGCTGCTGCTGAGGTTGCAGCTCCCTTATGACTGTTTCTTGGGGGCGGGGAAGAGTTGCAGGTTTTTCTGGTCTTGGTTGTGGAAGGTTAGGAGGTGGGGCTGCTGTTTGAGGCTGTGGCAACATGGGCTGTGGGGTAGCAGGAACCTGAGGTCGAATTTGCCCAAGCTTTCTTTCTTGTTCACGCCTTTTCCTCTCTCTTTCTTCTTCCAAGCGGGCTTTCTCCTTCTCATACCATCTTTGATGTTCCTCTCTTTTTTTTCTTTCCACTGCTGCTTGAGTATTTAACTGTGGTCCCAACTGACTTTGTGATGGTGGAGGTGGAAGTGGCAAATCAACAGGGATTCCTTCACATTCTCCTCCATAATGCACTGGAGGAGGAGGAGGTGGTGGTGGTAGATCTGTTCTTATAGGCTGAGAAACAGCAACTGGTGCAGGCTGAGATGCAATTGGTGTTTTCCAGCGCCCAGGCCCAGATTTGTTTAATGATGATGCAGAAGAATAAGTTTTAATGGAATTGTTCAAGTGCTCTTGGCTAGATGTACTAGATTCCACGGAAGAGCTTTGGTTCATCCAGCCATCTTTACCATCCACTTTCCTGTCCAAATACTCCATATCTTTTCGTAACAAAGGCTCTAGGCGACCTCGATCTGAAGGAAATCCCTGATCATCTCTCAACTCCTCTTGGGAATGAGCAATTCTCTGTTAATGAGACAAAGAAAGGGTAATTACCAATGCAGCAGTACAAAGAATAAAAACTATTTTTCATAGTAAGCACAGCCCCCATAAACCAGAAAAGTAGAAAAAAAAATGAACGTATGTTGCTTTAGTTTGTCCTCCTGGGAACTAAGGACCACAAAAGTGAATGTCAGGATGGAGAATGGTGAGTTTGTGAATTGCATTTCCAGATTTTCTTAACCTACAAGCTTTCTGCCCAGAGCACTTGCAAATTCATAGTGTCACAAGTACTAATGACTCTGCAGCGAGAACCTGTCACCACAAGTGCAAACTGTCATGGAGGGGGGGGGGGCATGTCAACTCATACACACACACACACTTCAAATACATATTATGGTACACACTTCTGGTATCTCCAAATACATTAGAGCAGGGGCGCCCACAATTTTTCGTCTGGAGATCTACTTTTCAAATGATGAGCTCAATGAGTTCTACCAACGCAAAAACACCTGCATTCAGGGGCGGGGCATTGAAGTCAATGGCACCGCAGGCAGGCCCCGCGCCCACAGTGCGATCGCCTGCACCCGGAACCCAGGCACGTTAGTGCCTGCGTTCCAGTCCAGTGCGATCCGGAAAAATGCTGCAAGCACTATTTTTGCAGATCGCACTGGACCGGAATGCAGGCACTAATGTGCCTGCGTTCTGGGCGATCGCACTGTGGGCATGGCTGCGGTGCCGTTGACTTCAATGGAACCCCATACCCCCTCCCGCCTCTAAACGCAGGGAGTCGGCCGGCTTACATTCCAGTGCATCCTATAGACTTGGGCTTTCAAAGTCAGAAATACATCTGAAAAAACGTTTACAAGGCTGCCTAATGGGAGGTCCAGCAGTTATTGAGTCAAGGCAGATAAAACATTTTTTTTTTTTTTAAACCACGGTTATATTTACATGTGCCTTTAGGTGCAAACTCACTTTAACACCAGAAAAAAAAAATGAAGAAAACAGGGTCACATGCTAAAATGTTTCATTTAAACGTCCATATTTTAGTAATCTTATTTACAATGTAATTATTTAAAATTTCAAGTATCAAAATGTCATCTCTTTACAGCCTGTTACAAAGGACTGTTTACAGATTCAACACCTAAAGCTGCAATTTACACAGAACTGAATGAACCATTGCAGTGACTGATCTCTTATGAGACTACTCAGTTCAAAGTTTAAATAAGACAAAGCCATACTTAAAAGGCAGACAACTACTACTATGCTGCCATATTAGAAAAAACCTATTACATTTTTTTTGTAAATGTAAAAAACATTAAAACAATTTAAAAAAATAGTAAACTTAAAAAAAGACACATACAATAGACCCCAAACTATTGTAGTTTCCTTTTAAACCTTATGTGGTTGCTGATATAACTACAGTGCTCAGCATAAATGAGTACACCCTTTGAACAGTAAACTTTTAATCAGGTTCTCAGTGAACACAAGTTCAATTTTCAAAACAGAGTTTTATAGAACATTTGTTTAGCTCATTACATGAAAGTAAGGTTAATAACACGACTTAGATCACAGAATCTTCCGTTTTACTCAAATTAGGTGAAGCAGAAATTAATACACCCCACAATAAAAACTACTACATCTAGTATTTTGTGTGACCTCCATGATTTGGAAGGACAGCACCAAGTCTTCTAGGCATGGAACAAACAAGTTGACGACACATTGCAACATCTATCTTTTTCCATTCTTCAAAAATGACCTCTTTTAGAGCCTGGATGCTGGATGGACAGTGATGCTCAACTTGTCTCTTCAGAATTCCCCATAGTTGTTCGATTGGTTCAGACCAGGAGACATACTTGGCCACTGAATCATCAGAAATGCAACAGTGGCTGTAGATGTGCATTTTGGATCATTGTCATTTTGGAAAGTGCACAACCAAGGGCACAGAGTGATGGTAGCATCTTCTCTTTCAATATAGAGCAGTACATCTGTGAATTCATGATACCATCAATGAAATGCAGCTCCCCAACACCAGCAGCCCTCATGGAGCCCCACAGAAGGACACTGCCACCATCATGCATTTTTCTTTGTACTCCTCACCTTTGCAAAGCCATACAATTTTGAAGCCATCAGTTCCAAAAACATTGATCTTGGTCTCATCACTCCAGAGTACAAAGTCCCAGTAGTCCTCTTCTTTTTCAGCATGGGCGCTGGCAAATTGTAGGCGGGCTTTTTTGTGCCTTGGCTTAAGGAGAGGCTTCCTTCATGGATGACACCCATGCATGCCATTCCTCTGCAGTGTACGCCGTATTGTGTCACGGGAAACAATCGCCCCAGTTTGGCTTTCTACTTCTTTAGCTAACTGCAGTGAACTTGCATGCCGATTTTCTTCAACCCTTCTCATCAGAAGACGCTCCTGTCGAGGTGTTAACTTTCGTGGACGGCCTGGACGTCTCTGTGAGATGGTTACAGTTCCATCTTTGTTACATTTTTGTATCACTTTTGCTACAGTATTCTGACTGATAAGTAAAGTTTTGCTGATCTTCTTGTAGCCTTCACCTTTCTTGTGTAAATAAATGATTTTCTTTCTCAGGCCTTGACGTTTCTCTTCCATGTGGTGCCATTGCTGACAGCATGAAATGGGAAGGGGTTTTCTTTGTTATGTGACACCCTTTTATAATCAACTGTCTGCTGGACACCTGTTTAATGAATAATTATACTCACCTGTAGTTGAATTCTGGTTAATTAAAATTTTGTTGTCTAAAATTTAGCTTTGATCCTATGACTTTCATTGGGGTGTATTTATTTTTGCAACATCGTCTTGAATGAAATTGTTAGGAAAAATACTTGTGTGTGTGCAAATTAACAAATCTTGGTTGCAATCAATGGCCCGCATTTGCGGGAGTATTTTGTAGTAGATTGTCCCATAGAAACTGTTGATTCTAAAAGGAAAGCAAAGTTTTTTTTGACAAATCTGTTGGGGTGTACTCATTTATGCTGGGCACTGTATTATGTCAGTGGCACCTGTCCCTCCTGGGTACCTGGGACCTCCATGGTGGGTGTCAGGATGGACAGAGGAAGGAAATTAGTGAACACCTGTTCAACACAGCCTTAAAAAAAGGATATTGTATTGTACGCACTAAAATTAATTTGGGTGTATTTTTTTAACTTAAAATATAGAATTGATAAACAAGCGCAATTTTAGTGACATAGAAAATTTGCAACTGCCAATGGAAAATATATAGGGTGTCTGCTTTCAAGAAAATATAAAATGTTTTGGCAGTTTCATCTTCAGACATAAAATGTGTGATTTCACCAGTCTGTATACAGAGGATTCCATGGGACTGCAAATTGTGCATGGTAACCAGCAACAATATCTGTCCACGAATAACATAGTTAGACCTGGACAGATAGGTAAATAATGTAAAGTAATAGGCAGAAAAACAGGTGATCTTGCTCTGCAAATGAGGAGCCTATTTCTTTATTATGCAAAATGGAAGAAAAACAGACTAGCTGATTAGGTCAGAACAGACCCAAGGAAAGGTGAGGGACTTTATCACTCCTAGTCACAGATAATGGCTTACTTGGACTGAGGTATTGCTAGAATGATGGCTTCCAATTTGGACCTGAGCTTTTTCCTCATAGTCTGGCCATTGACTTTGTGCAGGTGCCATGCGATCTTGAGATTTGGGGGTTGGAAAAGTAAAATATTCTCTGGTATAAGTTTGTGTAGGAATGGGATATGCCTCAGGTCTTGCTGGAGGTGGTGGTTCCTGGAATAAAGAAGAATGAAATAAAATATATGTCAAATATGCTGTTATGTTAGACAGCCAATTTGAGAAAAGATACAAAGCATTAAAAAAAAAACCTCAATATATACATTTTACATCATCTTCCCAAAGCAACTGGTATTAGCTCCTTGTTGCCCAACCTAAGGGAGGATCTTGCCACAGGCCCGCAGTCCCAGACCTGCGTACTGTATGGACCCAGACCATGTCATGCTAAAGGTTTGATTGTATGCTCTAGCGCCATCCACCAGTTGTTTCAGCACCCCTCGGATTCAGGGGTATAACAGTACGGTGTGTGAAGGGGATATTACAAAACACAAATGCCTCTTGTAGCAGGCCTGCAGACCGATTAGGGAGTGGCATAAAGAAAATTACTTAGGAAGTTAAACCAAGAACTTCTCAGCTAAAAATAAATTAAATTTTAAAAAAAAAGAGCAATACTGAGTAAGCCTTAAGTGGTTTAAAATATTATAGCCAGTAAGCTCAGATTACTATTTTAGTGGCCCAGTGGGGACTTTTAGTCCAAATCTTTTAGTTAATAGACTATAGCTCTAATACTTAAGCTACATTTTACTTTAATAGATAAGGGAAACAAATAGAAAGCTTTGGGATATTTAGGAAAAGAATTTAGAGTTAAATATTAATTTGTTTTATGTTAATCTTTTCTGGGCCATCATTGTTGACAGCACATACCTACTGCTGCCACATACAGACTGAACTACTGTTCGCTCTGGGGAAATGTCAACACAGTTTACGTATAAGGTCTTCTCTTAGTGAAAGTCCCTAAATATCATTCATAAACGCCAAACAATCCCAAAGCGCTTACTTTCAAACTACCTTCACCTTTTACATGGAATAACTGCATGCAAACTCTGCTATACTAAAATTATGGAAAGCAAGGTTTTCACTGCCAGAGAACTGTCGCTAACATGGTTACCACAACTAAACTACTCTGCTGTACAGTGACCTGGAACAAGTATGCAGATCAGCTGCTCTGACTTTACTAGCAGAGACCGCAAGGTAGCTACCACTTTCGAAAGAAGGTTAGCAATGGTAGCCTACATGTTTACCAAAGTACATATTTATTTTAAGGCCATATGATAAAAATGTTCTTGCTTTCAAAAACTATGGTCAATATAAAATAATTGTTTTTTATTTGGGCTAATATGAAATATGTATATATTGGCTATTTAATATCTAGCCACTTCAAAACAGCAGGTAAAACTCTAGGTTCAGTCAGTTTCATAGATGTACCTGTCCATTTTAAAACATAACACTCCCTCTGTGGAAATAAACCTACTCTAAGTTCTCAATCGTTCAAACTACAAGTCTACACACATACCAGAAATGATTCACATTCAATATCCTCCCCTGTTAAATGAGAAAGAAAGGAAGGGTCTGGATGCAAGTGGCTTCTGCCCATAATGCGGTGGGACACTAGTGTAAAGAGTGTCCCCCTATGTTAAAGATTATCTAAATTTAAAGTAAATTCTAATATACAAATAAAATTCATAACAGATTGTAAATGTTAGAAGCCAACAGACATACAGAGGCATACTAATAATGCTATTATTGCACAATGAGACAAATTAAATAAACACACACAAACATAACTAACCTCAGCACACAAGTTCCCTGTAGATACCGATGTGATCTTGACTGTTGAGCTACTGGCATATGCAGCTTTTCCACTTGGACTTTGAGGCTGATCTGAATGAAATAAAGCATACATGTTCACATATGGATATTTTCACAATACATTTCTGAAGTAGGTGAAACTCGTAAAGGCTTATTTTCATTATGTTGTATCAAATCATCATTCCTTGATTTACCATATAAGAACATGAACTTAAAGTGCATTTCCACTTTTGTAGCCAAATTGGGATAACACCTATGTTATATTTGTTAGATGTTCATGGCATGTTAAAAGATGGCATGTTAAAAACATAAATAAATATATATATCTATATATCAGTCCCCGGGTTATGAACAAGATAGGGACTGTAGGTTTGTTCTTAAGTTGAATTCGTATAATTAGGTTAATTGAAGAGGACTTCGACATAGTGGGTATAGCGGAAACCTGGCTGGACAGCACGCATGACTGGGCTACTAATATAGAGGGGTATAACCTGTTTAGGAGGGACAGAGGTGGGAGAAGAGGGGGGGGTGTTTGCATTTACGTAAATGGAACAGGTACAATTTTTTAAGTGTAAAAAAATGCCCCAAAATGTTTTTTGTTTTGCTTTGGATAGCATAGGGAAGGGTTAACCCCCTGTAATGTTTGTTTTGCTGTGTGTGCCCCTGTTCAGAAGATTTCCCCTCACTTTCTGTCCCTGTGACAATTGGATTTTGAAAATGTTGGGTTGTCGTGGAAACAAGGATTGGTGATAAAGCTTCAGTGGAGACACCTTTTTCCTATAACTCTTGCAGGAGTGAATTCCCCATCCTAGGAGTAGATTTCCTGTTGTCGCAAGGACAGGAAGTGAGATTGAATCTTTCTAATGAGGATACAGACAGCAGTACAAAACCTCACACAGTGTCCCGAAAGAAGAGGTGGACACCCCTCGTCTCCATGTCTAATGCCCACTTCCTGTAATGTACGTATAGTACAATGAAACAGACCGAAAAAGGCGGGCACTCCTCATTGGCACGAGCGTGGTAGCAATACAACTAACCCTGTTGTACAGTAATGGCCTCCGTTTGTAAGTAGGAGTCGTATGTAACTCGGGGAGTGTGTGTGTGTGTGTTTATTTAGAATTTGCTGATTACCTTTTTAAATGCTGTTTTGTGAAAACTCCAGGACCAAAAAAAATGCATTTAGTTCTCACTTCCTATGCAATATTTATGAAAAGGCAGGGGATTTGGGTTTGCCGTATATAACCATGTCTGTACTGTGTTGGCAGACTTTAATCAGTTAACAGGATGTGCAGGACTGCATGTCCTAGCAAAGGGTTAAAAGGTCTCAAAACATTATCAGGTCTATTCACAAAAGAGTGAAAAGTTTGGAGAAGGCAGGAGAAGGGAACAATCTAGGACAACATAGCTGAACTGGAACGTGAGCTGAATTGGAGAATTTTTCCAAACCAGCTATGTTGTCCTAGATTGCTCACTTCTCCTGCCTTCTCCAAACGCTTCACCCTTTTGTGAATAACCCTGTGTATGTTAATGCACCGATTTTCAGTCTTGTCCCTCCAGTCTGTACCTTATGTGTACATTGCCATCCTTTTCAAGCAGTAGAAGCTGCCCATAGAGTCCTATGTACAATCCTGCTCCAAACAAGCAACTAAAAAGATAAGGTATATTTTTAGAAGAATTAGCTGCACGTCCTGCAACAAGTTTGCAGTTTGGTATTGTCAGGAAGTCAATACTTCAAGGTATGGAAGCGAGAGGATCCGTATGAAAGCCAGGCAACATTTTCAGAATGAGGGCGAGAAATGGCACCCTGAAGGTTTCTCTCATGACAAGTTTCCTTGCAAATATGCTAACATAGCTTATTATAAAAGGGAATGTATAGTCTTTAAAAAAAATATATATTCACATGTAAACCTGATATCAGTTAACTTATCAATGTATGAACAGAGCCGGATGTAAAGGCGGCCACCAATAGGAATACAATACAGTCTGTTTCTAATCCGTCTAAGCCTGTGTGAACTATATGTGTGGCCAACGCAGACTACTTGTTATGGAGGCATATGTATTGGTCCAGGTAAGCAGTTTGCTTTTTCTATTGTTTACAAATGTGGGTACAGTACTGGTACGGCAAAGTAATGTTTTTAGCGCAATTTTTTAAACGCGTTTAGACTTTGTTATTGTGCTGACTGGTAAGTATGCTAGAGTATTTTTTGTATTGTTTTGTTTTATGAACTATCCTAATCATATGCACTTTACTCTTATTAATGATCTATGCCGGTTTATTTATACTTTACTGCCAAGTAATTACCCTTGTTTCACAATGGCATTGTTTCACAATGGCATAGATACTTACATACATAATTAAAGCAGTTTGTACCTGGCTGCAAGTTAGCCAATACAGATGCTGATGTTATTTTTAACAACTTGCTGAAAAGCCATGGGAAAACCTGGTTAGTTTTGCTGATTTAACCTTACTTGCTACATTGGGGCTGGATCGATGGTCAGCACGATTTTTCAATAGACGGTCATCCCCAGGTAATTTCTTTGGTTCCGAGTATTCTGGCCAAGCCATTTGGGGGCTTTCTGGAGACCCATTCTGAGCAGTGTTATTATAAAGCTCAAACCCTTCACTCTTTGGTCGAGGTTTCCCTGAGCCACGGCGATCTAATAGATTTAAAAAAAAAAGGGTTAAGCATATACCAACGGCATAATACACGGTTTGTTCCATTTCAATATACACTTATTAAAGAAGGGAACTCAGGGAAAGAAAACTCCTAACCCTCAAAGTGGGGCTAACCCTGCACTGCAAGGGTTAAGTGCTTGTTTTTGTCTAAGTGCGAAAATAAAGTTATACTCACCCAAACCTCGCAGCCAGTTGGCTGTTAAGAGTGCTCCCTCAAGCCTGTCTCCTCCTCTGCTCCAGTGATGGAATGTCTCCTCTGCGTCCTCACATCCAATACGCAGTTTATTGGATGCGACGGCTAAGCACCTTATACCACTGAAGCGGAGGGGGAGAGAGGCTGAAGGGACTGGTCAATCATCTAGCTGACTCAGAGTATAGGAGTATAAAACTTTATTTTCACACCTAGACTAAAACGAGCAATTAACCATTACAGTGAGAAGGTAGCTACTCTCTTACGTACAGTTTATGTTACTGTATTGACATTTTTTAAAATAGTAAATTCAATCTCCGCTTATCACATAAAACCTTAAAGTGATATTATAGTCAAACAGTTTTTAAAGTATTTCAAATGCTGATTAAATTACATACAGTTGATGGAGCTTCCTGATAAAAAGTTTTAGTTTCCTGCAGAATCAGCTGGCCACTAAGCACCGGTCCTGATATCTTGTTTTAGGGTGGCTCCTTTGCCTTGAAGGGTCCTATGGAGCCACTTCTGTATGTGCTAGTAAGCTGTGTGCATCTCCACAAACATACAGGTATAACAAGGCAAGACATTGCCCTGCTCCTTGCTTCTTCCTGCTCCCTTCACCAAACTAGTATATGGAAAGCTGCTGGAGACTACTCTGCCCCTTGTGATCTTGTACTAGACAGCGAGTTAAGGCGAACCAAGATGACAGAGTTAAAGCTAGTACATTAGAAACATGATGACATGAAGGGTTTGTTCACTCCATATACAGTGCATTCCAGCACGGTTAGCTGCCGGAACACACTGTATTGCCTCCCGGGGCGGGAGGGGGCGTGGCGGCGCACTGACGTCAATGGTAACCACTCAGCACAGTGGCTGCTCCTACCTGGAAGAAGCTGTAATACATATATCATTTTAAATATTATAAAAAGTGATTTTTAAAACGTGGTCCCTTTTTTGATAGTTGCTAGATTGTCATGATAATGCTTTGGCTTCAATACTTTGAGATCATTGACTTTCATTTGCAACAGTTTCTGCTACTTAGAAATAGTGAAAGCAGACATAGCCAAACCACTAGCATTTTTGGAAGAACATGAGCAATGGCAGCCTTCATATTGCCCTGATAATAATTGTACTATTAAAGTAAGCCTGCAGGTCCTAATAAGTGGCTAAGCTTACAATTCTTCTGCAGTGCAGATACCCCATAATCACTGCAAGTACCTGTGATAATTTTCTCAGCAAACCCCATGTCGCTATCCAACCCCTTGAATTACAGCCCCAGACTTGATCTCTATACAAGCTGAAATTTAGGCTCATCATTTGATAGTTCAATTCCAGAAGGCAGAAGCATTTAAGGTCCTTTGAATAGCCTGGAATCAATGGACACAGGTATTGCACTGAAGATTAACACACTAGGCATGAACTTAAGCAGTATTGTTACCAAAGTTAGTTTTTAGGACTTCACAGCCTATTGCCATCATTTTGTTACCTTAAATAATCAGTCAGAATATAAAATTCAGCTTGTTCAGAAAAACTGGAGCAGACAAAATCTGAAGCATTTCCCGCTTGGCAACCAATCAGCTTTTCTTTCATTTTCAAAGCTTAAGGTGAGAAACTAAAGAGAGAAGCTGATTTGTTGCCATGGGCAACTGCTCCAGGGTCTGTCCTGTCCAGTTTTGATAAATTCCACCTGTGAATCCATAATAAAGAGATGTATAAAAACAACAGTGAAGAAAACAGTGGTTCAGTGGCACAAAAAAGCACAGTGGCTCAGTGGTTGGCACTTCCTCCCTGCATTATTGAAGTAACATGGCATTTGCCAGTTCTCCCTGTGCTTGTGTGGGTTTCCTCCCAGTTTACTTCCACACTCCAAAGACATGCTTGTACGTCAAACGGCCCCCTGTCTAAACTGTCCCTAGCCTTTGTGCATATGAGATAGGGACGCTAGATTGTAAGCTCCTTGAGGGTAGGGACTGATGTGTAGTCTGTGTAGCACTACGTAAATTGATGGTGCCATGTATAAATAACTGTAATTAAAAAATATTACAATTATAAAAAAAAAAAAGCTGTGGATGACGGGCGCTCACTGTCATTTGAAATGGAATGGACATGTTCATTAGCTTTATTTCAAGCAAGATAATACCAGTTATTGTTATGCCATCTTTCTAAAATGAAATCACTGTGGTAGATTAAGTTTTATACCTCTTTGCATTAAAGGAGATGGCTGGTTTAGTAGTGTAGCCAAGCCATGGTATATTGCTCCCTGTTTTGCTACCTCAAGCGTCACAACTGAACCTGTTCTTGTCATCAGTTCAGCAGCCCTGTAGGAAAAACATAAAGCAGAAATAGTAAGTAAAGCAGAAATCATTGCTCACAATCCATATCTCATCTCATTTAGCCCTTTATTTTATTATAGCGGAACTCCTTTTTCAAGGTATGAACATAAACAGCAATAAGATCTTGACAAAAGGTTTTAACCCTTCCCTCCTCTATCCAAAAACGTGGCTTCCAAAGAACAGCAGAAGCAGGTAAACCGCATTTATATATGCAAATATTATTTTGTCCCTAACCTGTTGTGCTCTTTAAGTGTTTGTGTAAATATTCAATCTGTACAATTCCATAAAGGTGGCATTATCATTTTGAGGAAAAGCAACAATCTGACGTTGCGATTTACACCCGTACAGTATTACCAAGTGTATACTTTCTCAACGCTACGGTGAAAAGATTTTGACAAAGCAAAATAAAATAAAATATGTTATTTGTATCCGGCAATGTTTTATATGCAGTATATGTGTCATATATAGTCTTTACTGTCTTCCTGCAAAACTGAAAACTAGTTTTTCTGCTAAATTGGCTGAGAATGTTTTCAAATACATATTTTATTTAAGGCCTGGTTCACACCTAGGTGACAGTGTTGTTGCTCATTTTTGTGTGCATTTTATGCGCATAAGACAAAAAGCTTGTTTTTATGAGCAGATTGTAGCGCATTGAAGTTAAAGAGAGAAAGCACATAATAACACGCAAAAACACAGCAAATGCGCATTTTCAAGCGTTTCCAATTGAATCTATGGGGACAGAACATGCTGTAATATGCCAAAAAAAGCTCCTGTACTTTTTCCAGCAACAGGCGTTGCTAATTGTGACAAAACGCCTGTTGCTGGAAAGAACATGGCCATAGAAATGAATGGGATTTTTTTGGGAGCATATTTTTGGGCAGAAAAAGCATTACAAAATGCTCAGTGTGAACCAGGCATAAGGCTCTTCGTTGAACCAGCTCAGTAATTATAATTTTTTCTAAAACTTAAAGCCCAACTTCACCTTGCCAGTCCCTTCAGCCTGTTAAATAATAATTTAAAAAACCCTACTCTCTCTATGCAACAGTGCTGCCTCCCTGTCCTCCTTCAAGTTGAATGACACTCAGTATCATAAAATCGACTTCCTGTAAGCCCCGATATGATGGATACACCCATCACACAGCTTGTGCTCATAGGAAAAGGTGGTAAAAATAAAGGGCTTGCAGTGCGATTGTTGTTTAGGCTCGGTACGGCATTGAGGACTGCCTTCTGCCGACACCTTGGAAAAGGGAGGAAGAACCCCGCTCATCATGTGACTGGAAAGAAGACACCTGCATTTAAGGTATGTATCCTGCAAACTTTTGCAAATTTCCTGG